GCACACATACACACACACACACACACACACACATACACACACACATACACACACACACACACACACACGCACACACACACTACTTCTCTTTGTCTTTACTTGCTGTTCTACTTTTGTGCACTGACCCTTTCATGCTGAAAAGTGTATTTTCAAAATGAATAACTGGATGAACAAAAGCAAATTAATGTTGAATGATGATAAAACAGACGTCTTTCAGACAAGCAGTGCAAAGTTTTATTGTGGATGGTTGGCGGGTGCTCTGGTGTGGTTTGCTCCTTTTTTCCTACCAAACATCTATCGTCCTTATCTCGCCTACTTCAATTTTGTCTTTGTTACGCTCTTGTAACACCTCTTAACTTCGGCACTTATATGACCTTATTGTGTTGCAAGTGCCGTAAAACTTACTAATATTTAAAAAATAGAATTAAAAGTTTTATTTACGAGGTTGTCACAGCGATCACATGAAAATGCGTGACGCGGAAATTGCATTTTTTCTACAGCACAAAATGAGACTATTATCGTTTTGATGCCCCCACTTCACTGAAGCAAAACAAAATCCAAATATTCTCTTCCTTTGAACTTTCAATATAATTATTTTTATTTTGTTTCAGGAAACGGGGAAACTCTGCCCCCTGCGGTAAGTGGACACTTTGTATAGGACCTGGGATTAGAAAACAATTCTTATCCTCACGATAAATGATATCTATCAACTCTACATACTGCAGATTTTTTTCCAGCCAATTTTGCAGTCTTGGAATATAAAGAGCATGAAAAAGAAATGTAGCATAAGTAAATGAGGAGTCCACTGAAGAAACGGGCATAGACACAAAATGGAAATTTGTGAGGGTGTCAATTTTAAAAGCTTGTCGACTCATAACTTCATATTTGTTTGATTGGTGGTTTATTTTATATGTGTTTGTTGGATGGAAAATCTGACAACAACAATCAACCAACAGCTGAACAGAAATACAGCTATGAGTCAACAATTAGTGTTCAAAAATTGATACCTTCATGATTTTCAGTTTGTGACTATGTCCATTTTTTCAGTGGACTCCTCAAATTCTTCTTATCCCTCAAACGTGTATACAAAAGCTGGTGACCAAGCATTCATTTGTACTTCATCTGCAGATTTTTTTCCCCTTCCAAGAAAATACCTTTTTTTTTACTTGGCTTTTTTGTGTCTAACACTATCGGTATATAATGAGAAATGATATACCTTCTTTTATGAGCCTGTAATGAAGAAACCAACAGTAGAAGTTAATGCCGCCACTTATATGATCTTATTGTGTTGCAAGTGCCGTAAAACCTTACTAAAATAAAAAGAAGTAAATGGATAGATTCCAGAGTAATAGCACCATGCCTCTCTGTTAAATGATATATGTTGTGTAGATTCCACAGGACAGTTACTTGTCTTCTCTGTTGAATGATAGATGTTTTTTGTGTAGATTTAAAAGTGTAGACACGTGTCTGTCCTATTTTACCGTCTGCTCCATGATGGTTATTGTGTTCATGTGCTTCTCTTTGCACAAACAAACGAACAGACGGACAAGCCAATGATGGATGATGATGTATTGCTACAGAACAGTGTCGCTGTATGCCCGGCCTGGGAAATGATAGATGTTGTATTGCAACAGTCTGGGAAATGATAGATATTGTATTGTTACAGTCTGGGAAATGATAGATGTTGTATTGTTATAGTCTGGGAAATGATAGATGTTGTATTGTTACAGCCAGGGAAATGATAGATGTTGTATTGTTACAGTCTGGGAAATGATAGATGTTGTATTGTTACAGTCTGGGAAATGATAGATATTACATATCTACTGTACAGTGTGTGTAGATGTGTGCCTGGCCTGGGAAATGATAGATGTTGTATTGTTAAATGATAGATGCTGTATTGTTACAGTCTGGGAAATGATAGATGTTGTATTGTTACAGTCTGGGAAATGATAGATGTTGTATTGTTACAATCTGGGAAATGATAGATGTTGTATTGTTAAATGGTACATGTTGTTTTGCTACAGTACAATGTAGCTGTGTGCCTGGCCTGGGAAATGATAGATTTTCCCCTCTCTGATGATGTCGTTGTATTTCTACCCTACAGTATAGCTCGTTGTCTGCCCTGAAGCCGTCAACCCCAATTGCCAGTGTGGACAGTGCCATGGAGTCGTGGCCGGGCTCTGGCCAACACCTGGAGGAGGACACGGGTCATGTGATGGTCCTGGCCGTGCCTCAGAACGCGGGTCAGTACCCATGTGTGTGTGTATA